TCTGGGGAAAGTAGTTAGTAGTAGGGGCATATCAATCTCACCATCAAAGACAGAAGCTGTTAGGAACTGGCCTACACCTAGTAATCCCACCGAGCTACTCTCTTTTTTGGGATTTCTAAATTACCATAGGGATCACATCCAGCACTACGCTGCTATCTGTGCAGTTCTGTATGACTTGGCAAATGTGAAGGAAAAATGGACTTGGACCACTGTGCACTAGGAGGCATTTGAGAAGGCTAAGATGGCTCTATGTTCCGCACCTTGCTTGTCATACCCTGAACCTGAGGGACTCCTTATCTTGGACACGGATGCCTCTGATAGGACCATTGGTGCTGTACTATGACAGGTACAGGAAGGCAAGGAAAAAGTAATTTGTTATGCAAGCCATGTACTATTAAAACCTCAACGCAAGTACTGCACAACTAGAAAAGAGCTTTTGGCTGTAGTAAAGTTTTGCAGGCACTTCAGACACTACCTTCTGGGGCGTCGGTTTCTCCTGCGCACAGATCATAACAGTCTTGTGTGGCTTATGCGTTTAAGCATATAGAGGGGCAGCTTGCTAGATGGCTTGAAGAACTGGCACAATACAACATGGAAATTGTCCATAGACCTTGCAAAAAGCATACAAATGCAGATGGAATGAGCCGATTGCAGGATGATATTGCAGAGTGTGACTGTTATAACGCAGGAGCAAACGTTAAAGATCTTCCATGCGGAGGCTGCCATTATTGCCAGAGAGCACACATACAATGGGGACGGTTCGTTGAGGATGTAGATGACGTCGTGCCTTTATCGAATCGACCATCTTTGTCTCCGGGTCCTGTGCTTAAGGTGAGGACAGTAATGCAACTAGATGACAAGCCTGGGCAAGGTAATTCTTGTGTGTGCAACTGGGCAGTTGGAAGTTCGCCATCTGAAGTACGTAAATTGCAGGAAGAAGACCCAGAATTATGTCCAATCATTAAGTGGCTAGAGAATAATATTCAGCCCAAACAGTCAGAGCTCCGTTTACAGAGCCCAGGTACTCGGACACTGTGGTTGAGTAGAAAGAATTTGCAGTTTATAGGCAGGGTTTTATATCACAAATGGGATGGTAAGGCAAACAGGAGTCTCTGCCTGCTTGTGCCACAAGGACTACGGCGTTCTGTATTACATGGTTGTCATGATTTAAAGTCATCTGGCCATTTAGGCCAACAGAAAACTCTTGAGCGTTTAAAGCAAAATTATATGTGGTATAACATGTCCAGGGACTGCATAGATTATGTCGCCTCTTGTCAAACTTGCAATCAAAACAAAAAACCTAATGTGAGGCCAAAGGCTTCCTTAGGTCAGTATCACGCTGGTTTTCCCATGGAGCGTGTTCATTTGGATATCCTGGGACCATTTCATACAAGCGAGGATGGTAATAACTATGTACTGATGATGATTGATCAGTTTACCAAGTGGGTGGAGATGGCAGCTCTCCCTGACCAATGTGCACTTTCTGTAGCTCAGAAATTCTTGGTGCATTTTGTTGTCACATTCGGATGTCCCTTAGAAGTACATACTGACCAAGGAAAGAACGTTGACAGCAATTTGTTTAAAGCCTTGTGTGAGATGCTACAGATAGCCAAAACACGAACTACACCCTACCATCCCTCATCAAATGGGCAGATAGAGCGTTATAACACCACCGTTCTCCAGATGATAAGATGTTACATAGAGAAAAATAATAAAAACTGGGATAGAGATCTCCCTCTCCTAGCAATGGCCCTTCATTCCACTATACATCGCCAGACAGGTTATACTCCAAACCGCCTTATGCTTGGCCGAGAGGTTATTCAACCTATCCATTTGCTCACTGGAAATATCCCTGATGGTCTTAACTCCCAGGAGCCAAGTGATTGGTGCATTGATCTTGCCAATCGAATCTCCAAGGCTCACCATCATGCACGTCAAAATATACAAATGGCACAACTTCGTCAGAAAAGGGACTATGACCTTAGACTGTGTGAAAACCACTATAACCCTGGGGATATTGTGTACAAGTTGGATTCAACAACTAAAATTGGTCAATCATCAAAACTTAGACCTCCCTGGACTGGGCCCTATCTGGTAGTCTCATGTGATGCTCCACTTTACACCCTCAGGGATCAGAAAAAAGAGCATGTGCTGCACCATGATCGGTTGAAACTGTGCAAGGACCGAGATATCCCCATGTGGTTACGAAGGCTGCGTCATCAGTATTTCCAGGATAGTACATCTACCATGATTTCTAAGGATCCAGATTTTAGTATGGTTCAGCAATCCAAGGGGCATGATCAAGACGAGCATCTTACTGAGCCAATAGGGTGTCAGGACCACACTGGAACTTTAGATGATAACGAGCACCTTGTGCTACCCAAGGTTGCTGTACAGACAAGACATGGAAGGAGTATCAATCCTCCATCCAAGTACAAAGACTTTGTGTAGACTGATTATTTTGTACATAGACCTATGTATATATACCTCTGTTTGTATTTTATTTTCTCTGTTTTCTTTCTGGAACAGCCAGTGGTCCTTACATTCAGTTCAAAATATGGTTATTTGTATGAGCGATTATATTTGTAGACTGCCAGAATAATGGAAGAAAATCTGTGGGATGTTAATTTTGTCCCTGACTATGATCCTTCATCTGGGAGCCAGTCAGAAGAATGGATAACCCTGGATGAGGTGATGTCTGACACCAGCATCTCAGGAGATACACAGGATGCGAACAGGGAGGGGCAGTCGCCTACAGCGTCTTCCAAAGAAGATACCAGGACAGTAGTACTTGTGGCTTTATGCTCTGGTAGTACTGGTCCACGAGCCGGGAAGTATAGCTGCCCTATCTGTGGTACCAAGCTCAGTGGACATGTGAAACGACATGTTTTGCGCACTCATTTGCCATGGTTTTGGGTTGGGACACTTGCATGCTGGGAGTGTCGCCAATTAGAGGGATCAACACTTAGTCAGGCTGTCAAGCACACCCTTGCCCACAAGGGTCAACAGAGGTCATTTGATGACGAGAACCTCCATGAGTGGTGCCAGCTTTTTAATGGGTCCCTTCACTTATTAAGAGAATGGCTTGGGCTTGACAGCTTGGAGTGTTTGCGCCAGTTTGCTTCATCGAGCCTTCATGAAAATGTAGTGGGAGAATTTAATATGCAAGAGACCCAGCTGATGACATTCTACGCCACTCACTACAGTGAACACAAAGTCGTCCAATTTAAACTGAAGCCATTGAACCATGTAGCATGTTTTCTGCACTGGCAGGCTGTTGGTACCTTACTTAAGGGCTTGAGTATTGAACAGCAGGAAGTGTTCAGGCAGCACCAACAGCGGCTTTTGGCGAATGGGATGACCATAGATAGACCCTTCAATATTACAGGGAACCCCGTCATGGCCAGAATTGTTGATAGTCATTTCCATCTCGATCAAATCCTGCGCAGGACCAATTTCAAGACCTGGTTGGAACTAGAGCAGCAATTAGGTGGAAGGGTTCAAGTAGAACATGCTGTGGCTAATTATGTCTTTCCCCGCCAATGGGAGTCTTGGCAGGCACACATATTAGATGCTGAAAACATTTCTGTGTCCTTTGGTATCCACCCCCATGTTGTTGACCTGGCAGAGCAGTGCCTTGACAGGTTTATGGAATTGGTAACACATCAGCGTTGTGTAGCCACTGGGGAGGTTGGCATCGATCTCACCACCAATTGCAGATGCAACCCCTGTGTGAGGCCAGAGCAATGCAGGAAACGTTTGTTGAGGCTCCAGCAGGACTTCCTAGCAGATGCCCTAAATATGGCAAGAGATCTGGGTAAGCCGGTCATTCTGCACTGCAGGGACGATGGATCAGGTGAGGCAGCTAAACACACCCTGGCCATTATCCGCATGATGGACATGACTCACCATGCCTTTCATAGGCACTGCTTCACAGGTTCGGTGGAGGAGCTACACCAGTGGGAGATGGAATTGCCTGCAGTGAAATTTGGCGTCACTATGAGGTCAACTCAGGACCCGAATCTTGTGGCCAGGATCCCAGTTGAGCGCCTCTTGTTGGAGACGGATGCTCCATATTTACTGCCAGCCCCTGGTTGCAAGATGAATCATCCCTGGAACCTAGCATCTCTTGCTGCACAAGTCGCCTCTATCCGCAACACACCAGTGTCATTTATCCTGGAGATATGCAATAACAACGCCAGGCAGTTCTATCGATTGTAATTTTTTTTTTTCTTTTCTCTACATGTACATCAGTTATATAGTGTATTTTCTGTATATGTATATAATTACTTAAGAAAAAGTATTTTTTTTTATGTAAGTGTAAAAAGACATGTATATTTTCATGATTACTCTATTTCTTAGAACTTGTATAAGTGAAGGGATTATGTCTCTCACCAGTACTTTGTTGAAAAGTAATCATGATTGGTTAGTATTATTTTGTATATTTTCATATTTTGTACGAGTTGGCATTTAAGTAAGTTTGTACAGTATTTGGGAGGTGGATTTTACACATAATTACGGACGTTGGTTAAATTCGCCAATGGATACCCTTGGCTCTACAAGGAGGGGAGGAGTGTGGTACCACAGCCCGACTCATCCGTGTACGACCTATCCAGAATAACATTGATCTCCTGACCTCCGTCTTGCCAGACGTCTTCGACATAGCCTGTCATACAATTAGACATAATCTGGAGGGATTAGTCAGGTAATTCATCGACCATTACGACAATATAATATAAAATGATATTTAAATGATTTACATATGATAATTACAGCGAAAGACTATTTTTCCTTCCCTTGCGTACAAAGGACCTGTCTTGTAGAGAACTTTATTACACGTTAACTTCCTGATGTCTATTAAAAACAGTCTAGAATTAATTAGTAAGAAGGACAGGACATGATATTTTAACAGCGCTTCTACAAACTTAGCGATATACAGGTACTTCACATTTCTCGATTGTTCTTGGTACTTATGATGTGTAACACGTGTTGTACTAGTACTTTACTGGGTTTGTTTCCTGGGTTGTAAATAGATACACAGGGATTAGTACGTAGTATGAATCGTTCGAAAATCAGTGTTTAACCTTGAACTGGTGAGCGATAAAAGCCGTTTTATCAAGCTCTGAAAACAAATGTCACCTACATTGTCAAATGGTGCATGTTTATTGAATTAATGTATGAAGTGGATTTTATTTAGCCACATAGAACCAAGAGTAGACCAAAAATGTCGGAGTGTCGAGTTCTCATCGCTATGGATGGTAGTGAAAATGCAGCAATAGCACTTAAATGTGAGTACAAATAAATATGTAACAGCTATTTTTGTCTCAGAATCAAGGTTATTTTGCGTCGCAAAGTAAATGTTCTCTAAACTTATATGGCAGTTTGCTTTTTCCAGTTCTGTTTGCTTCATGATCGAATTTATTCCTACATAGAAATTAAGAGATTCTACTGAAATTTTTACAATCTATATATATTCCTGAGCACGTACGAAATTTGAAAATAAACTTAATCTTGAGATTGGGGTCAAATAATGAAAAAAATGTGCAAGTGTGTTTGTAGACATGATTATACAAGATGTAAACAAAGAGTTTGTAAAAAATAGATTGTGCTCATTATATATCGACACTGTAAAAATAAGATATAAATAGATTGTTATCTGACAAGACCAGCATTTTGTACATGATAGGTGTTCATTATGTCACGTTTCCTCTGCGAGTCTCTGCAAACTTCACTAGTTTTATTTTACTTTTTGATTGACCTTATTTTCTTAAAAAATGGCAGGAAATGGCACGGTTACTGTACTTGTGTTTTTTTTTCCTTTTTCCCATGCATCCTCATCATGACAATGTATTACAGAATTCTGTAGATCTTTTTTGCTGGAAAATATTAGACCACCTCTAACCTTACTCATAAATTGACACAATTACATAGACACAATTCACTTACTAGTACTTTATCAAGTTATTAAATGTGTGTTCAGATATTATGTATTGTGTTTCAGACTACGTGGAAAATATCCATAGACCTGGTTGTTATGTCATTTTGGCCCATTGTGCAGAGTACACGAATGTTAACTTTGGAAGTATGTAGACATTGTACACCTTGCTGCTTTCTCTTGTATTCGTTCTTGCATATCTCTTGTTATCTCCTGTCAATGTATACTGCGTATAACGAAATCTTTGGTTCGTTGTTCTTGACAAGTAAACATGGAACCTTCCGCTGTGTATCCTTTGTTTGCAGACTGAGGGTTCAGAACAATTGGTTTCATAACATATTACAGACAGCTTAATTATTGTTGCTCAAGAGTGTTTTAAATGATATTGAATTTCCAAATATTAAAGTTTATCATACATGAAATTGATAACGTGTCATTCTAGGCTCTGTATCAAAATATGTTTACATGTATATGTATAATGATATGAAAGGTTAGCATGGATTTTTTGCAGTGGTTTCCCTGTCCCAGGCAGACCCTACAATAGTAGAGAGAACCGTCAATGAGGAGGAGAAACGCATCCATGCTCTTATTGAACAACTGAACAAAGTTCTGGAATCCCACAATGTCAGTATTTTTTATATGATATCATCAGTATTATATTTTTTTCCAAACCGAGTGCTCTAAATTAAAGTTTTTTTTAAGCAAAATTTGGCTTTTGTTTATTGAGCCATTTGTTCACTCATAAATGACATAAGTAAATATTCATCAAGGACACATATCATACTTTTTATTTAAAAAAAATAGCTCAGCGGGGAAGTGGTTCGTATTCAAGGTGAAGGTAACCCTGGTCATGAGATAATAAACAAAGCTAACGAGAAGAAGGCGGACATGATAGTGACGGGGTCACGTGGTATGGGCAAAATTAGACGAACTTTAATGGGCAGTGTGAGTGACTACTTGGTTCATCATTCCAACATCCCAGTTCTTGTTTGTAAGCACGAAAAACATGAACAACATAAGTGATTGTTTACATCGTTACAACATTCTGTTTTTGTACATTCTGTATTGCTTTACTCTGTTTAAATACTTTATTATGAAATTTCTAATGAAATTTTTAGGAGTTATAAATTAATAGCATAAAAATAAATTGAAAAAGGGAATTGAAATTTTAAAATAATAACATAAATGACATTTAAATTTCATATTAAAATAAAATGAACTACTCTGATTTACATGCGCCAATGGAAAAAACTTTGATACTATGAGGTAAGCTATGAGTCTTTGTTTTATATAGCTTACTTAAATTTTGAATCTTTTGGGAATGAGTCACTACTGTCTTGTGTAATTTTAATGTACGTGTATATATGTGATAAATACCCGGAAGTACTGTATGAGATTTGTGTGCGTTTTAACATTTTCAATATGGCATTAAAATAAAACTTTCGCCATGATTATGCTTCTTTTTCTTATATTCTATCAAATTAGAACATTGGTGACTCAAAGCCATAACACATAGTTTGTGATTGTAAGGAATGATTAATTGATTGTATGTTGTTTTACGTCCC